CCACAAGAGTTTTATTTCCCTGGTGCAGGCTGGCAGAGAGCTGCCCCCCAGTCCCCATTCAGGGCTTTGGCAGAATCCCCATCCTGTCAGCCAGGGAATTGCATGGGGCTGAGGTGGGGGGAGGAGAGAAAGATGCTCTTTTCAAGCTCAATAGCCTCCAGAGCCACCTACAGGGTTTTCTTAAACTAGGATTAGAGGTTACAGCCGAGTGAAACTCCAGGCTCCCTGCAGCCAGAACTGTTCCCCCTCCTCTGCCCCATTTCCTCCTTCCCAGTTTCTGTCCGCACTGTCACGTCCCTCCACAGTGCCACTTCTGCTGCTTGCTCCACTGCAACACAAGCCAACCCCATTTGCTAGCAGGTCGAATCGGCTCAGCTAAGAGTGCCAGAGTCAGCACAAGGCAAAGGGCTGGAGCAGTCTGGAAAAGACCAGCCCCCATTGCTTTCAGCAACAGCAAACTGTTGAATAAGCTCTGCATGACCATGTAACCACTCACCAATAAAACTCCGCAGGTGTTTTCAAGGCCTCTGCATATACTGATAGGTTATGAGGAGATGAGAGCCTTCGCACTCTTCATGCTCCCCATGTTATACTTTAAAATCCGGTTAGATTTCAGCTGCCCACCCCCCTGGCCAGCCCATCCCGTGACTGCATGAGCAGCAGTGCCAGCACATCGGAAAGGACAACGAATGGCAAAAGCAGTAAGGGCACGGCAGTGTCAGGGTTGACCTCAGCTTGGGTAAGCTCCAGTTAAACTATATCCTGCTCTGCCCTGGGATGAGCCCAGCAGCCTAGTTACCTCTGCTGGTTTCTGGTCCAAGTGCTGTCATGCTTCCTGCAAAACTAGAGGCAGTAATCCCAGCCACAGAGAGCACTATGATGACTTCTGATGTACCCATTTATCCTGCAGTGACTGACTTGAGAGGGCCCCTCCTCCTCTTTCTAGCTGCAGGGGACATGCTGACCCTACTATATACACAGGAACTCAAAATTAAGAGGTTGACTATATAGCGTAGCTGATCCCAAGAGCAGAACAGCTGTGTATTCAGTACCTAAGGCTCTTCCCAAAAGACCATGGTCTCTTTTGGATTGAGACCCTGGTTTGGTCTGTTCATAAAGCTCCTATCCCAACAAGCTCATGGTCTACACCAGGATTAAACAAACAATAACAAATACACTTTAAAAAGTCTTTTACCTTTCTTGAAAGCTAGGCCTGTCTCTTTGACGCCGTTCACATAGAGCCGACGAATCCCTTCTTCTTCCACAGAGGACAGAGAGAAACCTAGGGAGATACCCGGTGAGATGGTTAGAAAAAGCCAACCACTTCCAGCATGTGCTAACAACTGCACGCATGACAGGTAAGGCTGTGCTGTCCCTGCAGTGAGCAGCTGGGAACTCCTCCCTTCTCCTTTTCCATAAACTCTTACACATGTAAAGAGAAAGTTCAAAAATGAAAGTGGTTTTAACAAAAAATTGAATGGAATTTCTGAGTTTATACATAAGTAATCTACAGCTTTATTTGCGGATACCACAGCTGCAAAATGTTGGAACAGACTTCCAATTCTCTTGCCACAAAAGGTCTCTTCAAGAAGTTTTGCTGTTTGCAGACAAAAGCTGCACAGAGATGTGGTTTGTGACCCAAACTGACAAAAGCCAGGAAACGGAGAGCTATGGCTGACATGCCACCCTGAACTCGGACAAAGCAAAACATTGCCTGCTAAAGCAGAATGCCAACTTTTACTTTTTCAAATTCCTGGACTGGACAAGTTTGTAAAAATGCCGCTTCCCCTTCTTTCTATTCTCAGCTGCTCCTGGCATGACCTGTTATTTGCTAAGTCCCAGGTCAGCTCACATTTTATAGCTACTTTAGAGACACACAGACCAGCCTTACAGCAGAAGGACTGACACAGCCTTAATTTCAACATCGCAAATGGTTCCGTTATGTTTGGGTTTAGTGATTTTCCTGCCATTTGTGTTTGACACTGTGCAAGATAACAATGTGTAAAGGAAATACAATGTGGTTAGTTAAATAGGGTTTATTTATTTACTGTTGAGAGTTATCTTAAGCACAACATTTGCCTTTCTGAAACTTCATTATTCCCTAAATGGGTGTAGGCAACCATTTGCTCTCTCTTTTTCTGACTAGAAAAACATTTACAAACCTCTGGGGGGAGACGCTTGTTTGACATGGAATCAGCCACCAGCCAAGAGGAAGCAGCTGTGCTGGGAGCCTATTCCAACTTTAGGACTCCCTTCAAGTTGGTACTTATGGATGAGAAGTTATTTTTTTCACCTATCATTTAAAAAAAAGAAAGGAGGGGGAAGAATGTGGCAGCCTAGAAGTGAGGAGCATATGGCCCTTCATGACTTACTGAGCTACTTGGAATGTGCACACGAGCTCCTCAGCCTGAGTAAGATGAAATTTGTGAAGCTCATTCAACACACCAACTTTGGCAGAGGGAAAAACTAAAGGCAAGTGTAGTTGCTTTTTTAATTTGGCTTTCATTAAAAAAAAAAAAAAAATCCAGAGCAGAACAGGTGTAAGGAGCAATTACATGTGTGGTCATCACCTTTAGGAGACGAGAGATGGGCAACTGGCAACAGCCTTGAAATAGTCATCTCACAAATACACTTGACACAGACAGGGTACGTAACTATACCCCAAGTATGGATAAACTGTTTTATTTCTACAGTTGTGATGTGGCTGGATCTGGTAAACAATTTGAAGCAGCATTCCTGTCCCACCGCAGTGCCAATGCCAGTGCTTTCACTGCCATGCAGTAAAGCAGAGCACGGAATTCATCCAGATGGGAAATAACTCAGCCGTGTGTGTGTGTGTGTACAGATATATGTATATATATACACACCTGAGTATATGCATATATGCATAAACATGTATGTATAGTTTGTATATACGCATGTATGGTACAAATGTACAGTTTCCATCTGGCTGAATTCTGCAGGTGCTCCACACAAACACGTGTACTAGCACTGCATGAAAGGAAGGGCAGGAGTGGGTGGAAGCGACTGTGATTGCATAAGCTGGAATCACTGCCAAAGAGATTATTATCAAGCTGTGCACGGACTCTGAAACTCAGGTGTGAAGAGATGGGTGGTGAACCAGACAGAGCCTTTTCTTCATTGCAAAGTTTTGATGACAGGAGAACAAAAGTCTGCATCCATGAGTGCACTTGGCCTCACCAAACCAGCACAATACCTGAACAAATCCGCCCCCAGAAAATTACCTCAGCTCCCCGAGATAGACAGTTCGTAACAAAAATACCAGTATGTTCCCAGTACAAACAGGAGCTGGAAGCAATAGGTTCTTACTGCTGGTGTGCCCTGATTCCTGCCCACGCAACCTTTGCAAAGAGACAAGAACGTATGCGCCCAGGCATCAGCAACAGCATCACATTGACAAATCTAATAATGCTGGCAAGGTCCAACACACTGGCCAGACACTCCAGGAGGGCCTCTTACCACCAGCACGCTGGTGGGAGCAGAAATACCACGAAATGTTCCCAGCTGAGCTTTCCCTGAAATGCTCTGCTCCATCCTGTTTACATCACTTGAACTCACGGTGTGCTCAGGCACGATGGCGAAGCTGCTCCAAAGGCCTGCTAACGCCTGAAGGGGCAGCTCTGCCCCCTCCCCAGCACCAGGATCTCTTAGCTGGCCCCAAACAGCTTGCAAACCCAGCAGACTGCTATTCACTACTGTTATTATCTTACCTTTCTGTCAGGCTAGTGAGCTGAACTGGCCTGCCTAATTGCACCCTTAGTGAAAGCGCTTCACCTCCTTATCTCTGATACCATGTCTGTTAAATGAAGATAACAGCGCTAAGTCTACTGTCTTGGGATTAGTGAATAGCTGCTTGTGAAGTATCTTGAAAATTCAAGGTGATTTACAAGTAGTATTATTGCTATAGCTGGAATGCTACCAACAGCAACAGGTAATGTCACTAATGATTTTCATAACCTCATCCATTTTCAAAATGAAGACTTTCCCAGTTCTTCTGGAGGAATCGAGGCACAGGAATTTGGATGTCTGCTTTTAAAATGGGCAAAAAGTATGAGGCTTGAACAAAGCTGCACAGAAAAAACAAGTAATCATCAGAATAAAAAGTCCCTCAGCACTCCAGACATTTGGGTTCAGTACTGGCTCCTGCCCCTGTTCTCAGCTCTTGTTGGCTGGGAGGGCCTGTGAGGGGCTGAGCCCCCAGTGCTGCCCAGCTGACTGAGAACCGATCTCAAAGGCAGCCCTGCTCTCACAAAGGCTTACGCAGGTGCTTAGTGCTTGGAGACCGTGTGGTCACGTTATTGATTTAGGCGTTTTTCAAAGCAAAACCAGTAGCAAGAACCCTGAAGCTATGCTGTTAAAAAAGATCCTATGCCAAAGTTTTAAAGCTCTGATCTTCATGTTGCCATAGCTCATGAATGTGCTGTAGCTTTCTCTCTGGATCGTGAAAGTATGTATTAGCAATGCTAATTCTGCAAAGAGATTAAGAGAACTGAAAACTCCAATGTACCTAACATACAGGATGGGAAAGGATCTCAGGAGCAACCCCAGCCTTCCCCAGCACCAAGACAGGATCAACACCTCTGCTCCCTCCGCGTATACACGTATTTCAGCACGCACTGTATAAACACATAGTACTATTTCTAAGACACATACAGACCATAGAAATTCTGCTGCCGTTTAGAGTCAAAGTAACTTTTGCCATTTTCATACAATGAGAGCAAAGTCAGCTTTTTTTGGGGTGCATTTAGCATTCACTCCCTGCAGGGTCAGAGCCACTGAACAGATACATCCCATGTCTCACACAGCTGATCTCATTTCACAGGACATGACAGTGCATTTCACGGTCTTTACCATCTAACACTTAAAAAAAAAAGAAAAGAAAAAGAAATAAACAGGAAATGCCACGATACCACTAACTCTTGCAGTGTTTCCAGGCACAGCATAATTATTGAACCTAGGGCCATCGCTGTGCTGATTAATATTACTCTCTTAGGCCTTCAATATTCAAATCGCAGTCAGTACCACTGCTTTGTAGCAGAGCTCAATATTCAAATGGCCTGCAGCTGTACAGTAAGCAGTTTGGGGATTCAGAATTATTCTAGTCATTAAAACAGAATATTTAGATAAACAGTAAAAAGATGCAGATCGGTTTCCTGCAGGGTAGGTTGCACAAATAACTTTAAAATACACTACGGAACTGTAATTGCCAGACCAAAGGGCAAACTCGCTAGGCTGGAGGAAATACTTGAAAGCTAAGAAATATGACCACCCCCATGTAAAGATTGGGGATTTTGCTGAGATTACCCAGGGAGGACTTCCCCTGTTTTGTATTTTATGCAGAGATATGTATTACGTGTCAGATTCTGGCTCCAGGGGTCCAGAGGGCATCCTTGAGGGCCAGGCAGGCATCAGGAACGGTGGTGCGAGACAGGGACCCCCGTCACGTGCGCACAGCAGGCAGGCAAAGAGGCCAAGCAGCCTCTCCTGGGCCAGCTGCCCAGCTGCAGACCTTGAGATACCTCGAACCCACAGCAATGCTCCTGGCAGCAACACTGCCATCGCACTTGGTGGAAGGGGTGAGGAGGGGGAGAGCCTGCGAGCCTGCTAGCATCGGCCAGCCACAGCAGCAGCAGCCCTCTCCCTAGCCCACTGCAGGGCCCCTGTGAACACTGCCATGCAGGCATTCATGTAAGATGTGACAACTGGCCAAGGATGCTGTTTTCTGCCAGCACTCAGTTGAACAACCTCCATAGGTGGAGTTTTGAGAAAGTACATGAGCAAGAAAACATTTGTCCTTTCTGCCACCGTAGTTCTCATCAAAGAGCTGCGCATCCTACAGCTCGAGCACTAGGAAACCCAGTGTTCAGTTCGGTGCACTACAAATAAAACTGTCCTGCTTCAGGGCAGGAGAGCGAGCTTTCAGGGGAGCGAGCTTTCTGTGGATGGCACAGGAATCAGATGTGCTTTTCTTACTGTGTTCATCAGGCCTGTCAGGTGTATCAATGAATATCAAGCAAGAACCTGCACACACTTGCTAGAAAAGTAAAAACAAATCAAGGAGAACTCACCATAAATATCAGAGGATGCATCAGACTTCTCTATTTGAATGTGCTGTGTAATTTTCTGACAGATTTCTATTTCTTTGTACAGCTGAATAGAAAAAAACCACACAAAAATAAGTTATCGTGGGAGGACACGTCAATTGTAATCATTCTGAACAGATGATTTTTTTTTTTTAATTACAGGTGGGAGAAATGGACTGTGGGCATTATTTATCAAACAATTTTTCCCCATGTGCATGAGATGTATTCGTAGCATCACTAAGCTCTACTGTTAGGAACACCGTTAAAGAAAGAGCAGGCAGCAGTGTTTTACTACCACTGTCATAAAAGCAAGGATACATCTATTTCACTTGGTCCATACCATTTTCAGTACATGAGAAACAGAGCTTCTGTTCCTGTTTTCGTATTTTATGGTGGTCATCATTTAACATTTTTATATTATTTTTTATTAAGACACTGCAGGAATTCAATTATTTTATAGTACTAAAATAACAAGGAGGGATTTGTTAAAAGACTATCAACTTTCTTAGCGTGAAATTTCATCTTTAACACATCTATGTTTATTTGTACCCAGCAAAGCCCCCAAGTCTTTGAAATGGTCATTAACATCCTTCCTGGGAGACCAGCACAAATTCACACCTAGGTAATAACCCAGAAGCCTAGGCATGCAGGTGCCATTCACTCTGCCTTTCAGAAGCCAAGCAACCCCTCAGCAGAGCTTACACCCCTCCACCACTGCTCAGACATTTTGTGCTTTTAAATCACTTTTACATTCTCCTGTCTTGTGTGGCTCGCTATTGTGCCCAGGGCCTGCCCCGACCGCCAAACAAAGGAGCTTGTACTGGGCCCTGCCACTCCACCTGAGGCAGGGAAATCCTACTTTTCCAGACAAAGTCAGATATTTAGAGGCTCTGAGCCGACATCTTTGGCAGTCAGCTGCTCATAAGGTGGCCCTGACATACTGGAAACCTCTGGCTCAGCACAGGTTTGAAGCTGGCTTGTCCATAGCACAGGCTAGCGCTTAAGTAACAAACCATCCTTTTGTCTTTGGAAAAAATCATACCCACAGGTGAATGAGAGCCGACAGGTAAATATTAATTTTGTTTACATGCTGGTATGAGTGTGTAAAAAAGCAATTTGCAATAATTAACGTTTTGAAACTACGTGATGTCAGTGTTTGGAATGAAGTATTTAAATCATTTCTTTAAAAAAAGAAGAGTAACTCATTAGTAAAGGGTTTCCCTAATAAAAATATAATTTTATCTCCTGCTTATATCAGCACTTACACATCTGTCTAACTGCAAATATTAGGTATTACAGAACAGTCACATACCAATTTAAGTGGTTGTAGATAGCAAAATAAAATGTAAAATTAAATGAGGATGGCATGCTAGCAATATTTTTAAAATCCAGGTTTCAAATACAGGAATGTATTGTTCAGAACCTGAGAAAGAGTCAAATGACATTTACAAAAAATCTCTGCTAGATTTCAGCAAGGGTTTTAAAAAGAGAAGTAAGAACAAAAAGGAGTGAAAATAGCAGTATTTTCAGAACAAAACTTGTGTCTGATCCCCGCCATCATCTAAACTGAACGTGCAGGACCAGAACCAAGGAGGACGGGTGACAAGCTCTTGCAGGGATACGGGAGCCACTTGCTGCCTGTATCCCAAAGCGCTGTTATCAGGTAAGAGCCTCTATTGAATGGGAGGCAAATATCTGGGATGCTCGGGCTGCAGCTGAGCTGCCCAAACCAGAGAGCCAGACCGACAGCAGCCCTGAGGTGCTGCTTGCATTTCTGTGCCCCGTGGACCAGCCGTCCCGACACCAAAGGCAGGCAGCATGTTTGGGCTATGGTGGCTCACACGACACGAGGCTGCTGGCCTTGCAGGCACCATGGGTATATGGGGGAAACCCCCTCCAAACCTGGCGTGAGGCCCAGAGGTCTGCACGGGGAGGTTTGATAGCAATAGCGGGAGCATCCCAGGGAGGTTGCCAGGCACTGGGAAGTGCCCAGGGACAGGATTTCTTCCCAAAAGCAGCAGCATTGCCTCTCTGAGCTACTCCAGTCCTTCATAGCATTTCTCATAGCAGCTTTGGGATACCTTCTTTACACTTTTGGTCTTGGCCCAGCACCTTTTCCCAGGGTTACCTTTTCCAGCAGCCCCAGTGCCTTCACCCCAGCCTCATCCTATCTGCAAGATTTTCGGGGAGGCCTCTGGTTCTCCTGCTTCCATCTAAAGTGCCATCCTACCCAAAGTAAAAAGACTGGCACATCAAGCTTCAGCCTAAACACTCCAGCACTTCGTTTACAGTAAAAGGTGCCTAAAAGTGTAACTGCGTGGTACAGCACCTAATGTTAAATACTCGCCCCTGAGCCCTTAGTAACATTTTTAACACATAATAAACAGAGCACGTGAATTTTTGAAAACCTGTGTCAGTACACAAAGTGTCACCATTAATGTTTTGGAAAGGAATGGAATACTGATATTTAATCTCCATTTCTTATTTAAATATCTCTGATACATTCTGCAAGAAAAAGGAGTATCATCCTAAGAAATTACTTTTCTGCCATAATGTATGTCCATAAGAGCATTTTATTAGATAGAAGATAGCTCTAGCAAGGTGACATCAACAATAGACAATACTATAAACAGCTATTCAGGAGACTACAAAAAGAGAGGCATTAGTTTTGTCATATTGCACCAGAATCATTTAAACACTTAGATACAGTAACTCAAATTTTCTCATGAAACAAGCACACACAGGCACAAGCAAACACACAAATGTGTGTTGTTTTAATGTTACTACATTAGATACAACCCTGTAACACCTATGCCTATTATAATCTTTCAGCATGTACATAGTCCCACTGACTGTTGAGTTCTGGTTTAATTTCATTTTTTCAGAATAAACAATAACTGATGACTACTTCAATCCTACATCTTCTCAGCTAAGACAAGTCACCAAAGTCCTTCCAGGCAATGAAAGCTAAAATCTGTCTCCTCTGAGTTTGATTTTTCCCAACTATATTTCACTTGCCAGTCTTAGTACTCAACTAGCACTTTCTCACTCTTTTTTTCTGTTGACAGTACTAATGGCAAATCCCAGAATTTCTTTAGTAAATGAGCAAAAGCATCCATAACTGGCAAAGTTTTACTTTTTATAAATAAAACAGCCACCAATGAAAGAGAGATTAAAAAGCTTTACAGCATGCATGTGTAAAATCATAGAGTTAAGGCATGGCACTAATTCTGTTTGGTCTTTTTTTTTAATCTCTCATTTCAAAAATCCTTTGAAGTCTGCTTTTGAGATGAATGATATAAAAACATCCAACTGAAGCAATTAGGAAAGTATAGCTTCACACATAACTCCAGAGCTTTTTTAACCTCAACGTTTACCTTCCCATTTAGGAAGAAACAAATAATCAAACAAGCAACTAACCAAAAAAACCAACCACTTGTTCATTTCCCCCCTCTTTAAAAATCAGGCAAAGTGATCTGACTAAGAAATATTCAGGCCTCAACACGACGTCTTTAAAACCACCAAGGACAATATGAACAACAGGAAAAGGCAACCTTGGGAGAAGTTAAGCTTAAATGTATGTTACAGTGACTTTCACACATTACCTCTGGCTGTTCCTCCTCTCTCTCTTTGACACAGACACATGCATGCACAAACAGAAGCTAAACACCAACTCTCTCCTCAAGATGAAATGTTTGGAGAGATTACTTTACTGTAGGCCAGTTTGCTATGGTCTGCAAAGCACTATAATTGCAAGTTAAAAAGCATAACTCTGCATATTACAAATGTCAAATAAACACTAATTAATAGTGTCCCACCAACTGTCATTTAATTTTGCTCAGTAGGTAGCATTACCAGTTCATAGATATCCTCTTCTGGCTTTGGCACATAAAATTGGATCTGGTTTTCAATCAGGAACTTAAGACGCAGGTAGTGAGCAGAGTGATCCAGCTGGTGTGTCTGCAAAAAACGGAGAAGAGGCTTTAGAAGAGAAAAGCAATGGCTCACATCATCTATACTTAGCGAACGGCCTGGCACTCATAGGAAGAAAAATGCCCCAGCACCTTCCTTCACAAGAGGCCCATGATCTCCTAATCTGAACAAGAACCTGGACCTCCTCCCCTTCCCCAGGAAAAAGCATTCATTTAACCACTGACCAAGATGTCAAGGGCAGTGCTAGTACTCTAAGCAGCCCCTTTGGTTCTGCTTATCTGGCAGTTCTGCTCCCTCCCATGCTGTTGCAGAAATAAGCAAACACTATTACAGCAGAAGACTCAGAGCATACCTTTGTATACAAAGGGCATTTAAAATCACAAGGAGGAAAATAAATGTTCTGCTAACAGAGAAAAATGTAACAGGAAAGTTTTTTCTGTTTGTTTTGGGGTTTTTAGCATCTTCATAATTTAGTAAGCAAGTACGATGTGGTAAATTTCAAGCAAAGTTAATAAAAAAAAAAAAATCTGTATGTCCTCTAAATTCAAAACAGCTCAGGATGCACTGGCTTTATAAGGCTAAAAGAAGCCAAGACCTGCATACTGGATTCCATCCCAGTGGAAACAGGTCACACCATTTTAATGAATTAGTTATAATTAGCTGAGGATACAGCATTTGGTGTGGGAGATGTTAACGACCTTTTCTCAGCACGATTAATAAGCTTGATTTAAGCAGAGGTTAATGCAGTGTGTAATCAAAACACATTAGAATTATGATAAACACAAAGGATGTCATTCAGAAGTTACTTTCAAAGTTCGTAAACTGTTGACTAAAGCTAATGAAAAACCCCAAGTGATTCACAAATACAGGAGGCAAATTCTCCTGTCACTTTTGAAATCCCATTATTATATGCTTTTATACATTGGGCTTTTCATTTTATACGAGAAAATGGCCAAAGTTTCCCAGGTTGTACTAAAAACAATGGCTATCTGAAAATTCATGCAAGAACGTCATTACTGCCTATTTATTATGTTTTTTAAAGCCTCGCTTATCCAGTTCAAGCCAAGACGATGATACACTGGGACTCAGCTGACTGATCACACAGCACAGATGATGAGTAATGTACACCGAGTGACCTGTGGAAAAGATCACACACTGACCTAGCAAACCCTTCAGCAAATACTCAGAGAACAATGAACATTTTTGAAAGTCCAGACTAGCCCATGAATAAAAAAAGTGCAACCAATAAGAAGAAAAAAAGAAGACAAATCTATTGCTGCACTCTACACAGCGCTGCGTTCACATATGTGCAATTCAAAGACCAAATTATCCTTATATGAAATTCAGTATCTGCAATGGAATAACCTGTAATCTGGACAAATACCTAGTTAATTAAATAAAGAATTTGAAATCTACCAAGGGCTAAAATAAAAAGAGCTGAATGTAGGAGATCCCTGCCCTCTCCCTTTTTTCCTTCTTTGATAAGCATTTTGCATGCTTTGCTCATTGTTTACTGACCGTTTTCATTAGTTTTCCCTCTTACACGCACACACATACAAACATCCCAGAAATTAAAGGGAAGCAGAACTGGCTTTAATGGTACAGAAATTACACAGAGTAGTCCTACATTAGTTTCTGGTCAGATTAGTTTACTGTCCCTAGATGCAGACTGAAGAGCGCCTTGTACACCAATTAAAGAAAAACATATAGAGGAGACATAAACCCACAGGCTGCATGCCCCACCTCCAGAGGGAGAAGTCTGTGATAAGTCTCTCTGAAAGTCCATGAAACATTTGAGCCATGTACAGCAAAGCCGGTGCAGAAAAAATTCTACGTGGAAAAAGCATACTAGCATACTGCAACCTGGCAGCTTCCTCCTGCCACCATGGTCTATCTTCCCGTGGTCTCCTGGGCTGGAGCTCTCATACATGTGCCGCATTTCATGGCCACACCAGTCAGCCAGACCTGTGCTGACAAGCTACATGCCATCCGCTGAAGCCCAGCGTTGGAAGACGACAGCCCCCGTCTGCAGCCGGGTATTCATATCGCTTCAACAGCGACGCTGAACGTCCTCCCCTTGCAGAGGAGACCCAAAGGGACGCTTTCCAGCCCGCCCCAGGCCAGCAGAAATCACCACCTGTTGTAGAGAGACGTGAATTTATCCGGTCTGGGTCCTCCAGCCGTTGGGCGCAGGCCAGGAGCTGCCTTAGCTGCGCTGGCGGGGCAGGGAGCCCATGCTCAGCCACCTGGGCTCCCCGACGGGCCAGGGGCACCCCACCACCGTCAGTTCAGAGCCACCCCCGCCCTGGGACAGGGGCAGGGTAGGCTCACGCCTGCCCGCAACCCGCTTTGCAGCCTGCACCCTGATAGCATCTTAAAAGAGCAACCTTCCCCGCAGGTGGCTGGCTTGATCAGCCATCCCGGCAGTCAATGACAGGGCTTCTGCCTGCTTTGATATGGGCACTGCATCACGCCTGGAGGTGACTGCCGACCCCTCCATTTTCACACCTGTCTTTGCAGGGAGATTTGCTTATGAGAAAATTGTGTGTGCTGGCCATTTTAGAGAGCAGGAGGAAGCCAAACACGAGATGACCAATGCTGCACTGAAGCCCTCAGCTATGCCAGAGCACAGCACCGTCTAAAGAGGTCACTGGATAAAACTCACGTATATTTTGAGCCACTCATCTCTTCCAAGACGTTCAACCCTACATTGCAATCCCATCCAGGTCAGGCAATGGGAGCCATCACCATTAAAGCTGTGAGGGCGCAGCAGATGAGCCACACCATTTAGTCAATTAACATTTGTATAGCTGCAGCAAGGCTTTGTCACCTCGAAATTTTGCATTAGTTAAACTGTTTCAGATAGGGGCATGATTTTCTGTTGAAGTGGAAGGAAAAGGTCCTCTTAAAGTGGACATAGACAGTCTGCCCCAAAAGCCATACCATTAATCCACTTTTTTTGTTGCTGGTCTAGCTGCATCCATATGCAGGAAGGTGGGAGCAGAAACAGGGCAGCTTTAATGATATTAATATCCTTTCGAGACCACCCAAATTACCTTTCAGCAGTCCAAATAAGTTTCTTGGTTTATTTATTTCTCTCCTAATAACTCTGGCTATGTCTGGACTAACTTAAGCAGCTAACCCAATTTAAAGCACAACCCAACAGCTTAGCAGACGTGCTCTTGAAGAAGAATTTACAGCCTGGGGTGTGATCTGATTCAACAGGCTCCATGCGGTGTAGAGGGTCAGCACACAACCCGAACTATTCATCCATTTTGGCTCCCTTCTAGTTAAAGTGAGGGCCAGGAATATTCTTTCAGCTCGGTGGGGGAGACTTTCATTGGCGTTGAAATGACAGCATCACAGGAACACGCTAGCCATCCCACCTTATTACTCTGGCTTCGCACTTGTGTGGCCTAAGCTCTTTCAGCTCAAAATCAAAGCAAGCCCGCAGAGCATCAGGCTTAAATAACTTCTCAGAGACTTTGAGCACAGACCCAGAGACCTAGGGGAAACCTGCTTCTTGCCCCTCATGCAGGTCTATTTGAAAAATGCAAAACATGAGAAAACAGAACCTTTTTCGCTTCTCGCTTTTTATCCAGTTCAGGCAAAAGACTAAATGCCATGTAGTTTTCTATGTTTGATTTTTGGTGTTATCCTCTCCATGATGGCTCTGCCTAAATCCATATACAGTATGTGTGTTTCTACTCAATTTTAAGACATACCGTTATGCAATTGTTTGTAATATGTATACACGTGTTCACACTGATCAGTATTACCCATAGGAAACAATTTAATGCATATACACTGACTTTTCCTGACTTCCAAGTGATGTTATTAGTTAAATCTTAGGAGAAATCTTCAAGAAACCACTTTAAAATATGCTTTAAACTCTCCTCCCACCAATCTTGAATCATAAGTGCCACAAAGCAGCCTCCAAAACCTAAGTCGCTGTACAATAACAAACAGGAATGTTAGTATAAGAACACATTTTCTACAATGACTTGAGTGCACTTAATGTTCTCCAACCGAATAATCAAGCTCAGTTTAATAGCACAGATAGATTTAACCACATCTACAAACATGAAGAGGTTTATATGAAATGTAGATCTTGAAATGTTTACTATACCAGAACTTGACTGGTTCGCAGATGGCAGATGGCAAACTGATGTGAAATGATGTGGATCAGATATTAAAGGGGAAAAAATGAGCTGAATGCAAGAGACAGAAGAAAGAGATTGATTATTAAATGCTACAGAAAAGAAGGCATCCATCAGTGTTTTCCAGACTGAAAACTCTTACAGAAAGGAAAGAAACAGATAATAGCTTTTCAAAAAACAAACACTCACCCACCTCCCCTTCTCCTTATACACCACCACCCACAACAACCAAACACACAGTGAGAGACCAGATTCTCAGCAGGCACCTATTGAAACTGGTGGAGCTACACCAATTTACTCCAGCTAAGGATTTGGCCCACTGAGTTAATCACTCTTACCCAAAGGAAAATATAAATCCTAAAAATAAATCATTACTAATAATGTGTCATCCAGCTTCCCTATTATGTCTCTCCAAAAATGTCATCTTTTCCTGAATACAATGAAGAGCTTTCACAAGCCGCATCACTCTTTAATAGTGCACCTGGCAGAGAGACGAGCACACTGTATAATTACTGCAAACAAATGCCTTTCTCTCACCTTCCCTCTCTTTGGAAGCACATGCAACACGTTCTAAAAGTCCCCAAAGTTAAGCTCTTAATAGTAATAAATGTTTTCTTTTCTTTTTGCTGTTGTTGTTGTACAAAAGAGGACTCACTTTTCAGAACAGCACGTGACATGAGTTGGGTCTAGCTTGCAGTCAGCCCCTTAGCAGAAAACATACATTATGTAGCTGCCAGAACTGAAAGCTTGTGTTTAATTTGTCAAAGCTTTCAACTTCTCTGCCGAGATGTAACTCTTTTTAATGGCCAAATGCCTCCGATACTTCATCTTGCAAAGAAATCCAGGTGGTTTTTCTTCCACCCCCCCCCAAACGCAGATAAAAGCTTTCCTCTCTCTTCCCTCCTGCCACCTACACGAGGCGAGTCTGACTCCGCAATGCAGACAGCAAACACAGGCACCTTCTCCTACACCTGGTGCTGCTGTTTGCTCCCTGCCTTCCTCCCCCACACCAGACGGAGGGGAAGAAGCAGCAGGGGGAAGGAAGGAGGAACAGCACCTGGAAACAGGACGACCTGGCTCCTGGGAAAGGGTGAGATCACCCCACTTGCGTGGCAGAGAAGGGAACGGGCCGTGGGAGGGCTTGGCACAGGTGGGGGGACCGCGGTGCTCGGGTGAGGACAGGGTGACTGCACTACCATGCTACGGGGCGGCCGGTGAAAGGAAGCAGGCTGGGGGCCAGTTTAGCTCCAGCTGTAGAATTTTTCTGGCACACTGCTAGCATGAAAATTTCAGTATAATTCATGTTTTTCATCTTACAGACAGTAACTGATCCCCCAACAGAGTGCAGTCAGTACTGGCGTACGAGAAAAGCCACTGTGGGGTTCAACTGAAAGGGCTCGGGGTTGTAGACACTTCTTCCCGCTTCAGGGCACGCTCACAGCCTTTACCTTGCAAATCATTTCCAGCACATCTCGTGTGGTGTCCCCGGGACGGATGACTGTCAGAGCAGGCTGGTTGTTCGGCAGGCAGAACCAAGACGGCGTAAAATACTCGTGAACCCAAATATCACAGTCGGGATTGTGCTGATGGACACTGCTCAGTGCCACTTCTTTTTCCCTCTAAATAGACAAAATCCATGATGACTCTAACCAGCCAAATACGATTTCCCGCTTCGTAATAACAAGTGTAAGAAACATTATACGCTGTATCAAAAGGCCCTCTTATACAGAAGTCATTTTATTCATAAGCCTAGATTGAAGGCTTGCCTGGACAGGAAACTTTGCAGTTTTACCTAAGTGGTATAAAGCGTGCCTTCCCATACCACCCACACAGCTATGCTGGTGCAATGTGCTTTTCCTGGGATTTCACCCTATGGCTATTGGGAATGCTAGGAATGCAACAAAAAAAATAGTGGCAAAAAGAGATTTAAAATTAAAACTTAAATGCACTGTTGCAGATGCTACGGTTCCTATACCTAGACAGGGCAAAATAGCAAATCTTAGCAGTCATTTTGAATTTACTGTCTTTTATACATTCGAGTTGCACTCCAAGCTATAAATCCCCAGGAAGTGACAGAGCTGCAGAATCCCTATTTGCTGCAAGTGGGCTCACGCAGCTAAACCCGTATTCTCTACATGAAGAATGTGCCTCTTAGCACTGTCTTAATGCTGTTTTATAGCCGACTTTCTCTGGGGAAATAGAAAGCAGTTGTAACTGTGGCTGCAAACGCAGAAGCTCACAGAAGCGCATGAAACAAAACAGAGGAAGCCCTGCGCTTCATAGCTGTGCCAACCTTAAATTATGAAAACTCCATATGGCTGTCACAAGGAGCCATTTTCCAGAACCAGTGGCATCCAGGTCCTCCTGTGGGCAGGCATTTCCCTGGCGCGCAGCGCTAACACCCCTCTGGGTCTGGCAGCTCCAGCTGCGCTTAGGATGCCACACACAGCAAGCCCTTTTGACCGTGGGCAACCATCTCAAACCCTCCCAGAGCGGCTACAAGCCCTAGAGCACACAGAGGGACCTCTCCTTGCCCAGGGGCTCTGCATCCCCTCTTGCATCCCAGAGTCAACGCTGCATTTAGGCTGTCTGTGAGTGGGTGGGGAAGGAGGCAGCTGGAGAGCTGGTGTTTTACCTTGCCGTCTGGGACCGTATCGTCAAAGATTCCTTCGAGGGATTTCTTTACTGAATCAACTCCTTCACCAAACACCTGAGGAACAACAGAGCGACTCTGCTTTAAAATATGAACGCACCTCCGCGCTGCCTGCAGGAAATGCTAAGGGGAGAACAGTGTATCTAACATCTAGCATGGAAATCAAACTGAAAAATAACATTGATCTCAAAACACAGAAAAGGAAAACATCAGTTTGTTAAAAGGGAAGGGAAGGTGAAGGACAAGATGGTGATGGGGCACCATGCTGAAAGATTAGGGGCCAGTTCTGCTTAATGGTCTGTCACTGACTTACTTGGAGTGGTGGTGGTGCAGTTGGACAAATTTTATCTCCTTTTGTGCTCCGTTTCCCCACCTGTAAAGTGGGGGAAATGAACGTTTCTCCACCTCTGCTGAGGCTGAGAAATCAGAAGAGGGGCTCTGCTTCTGGCTGGTTTTGTAATAAACCAGCTTCCAAAAAGTACTCAGCAAACATTCAATTACCACAAGTCAGCGTAACCCTTCTCTAATGAAATAAGAGCTGGTAACCCAGCACGAGCCAGAGAGCCAAAATCAACAGGACTCTGTGCAGGAGGATTGACAGAATAGGAATATTTACAGGATCCACCCCAAATCAGCACAGGATTCCATCAGCTGGGCAAACAGGGTTTTGACTGCAGCAGAAGCTTATAATTAAAAATGAAAAGTTAAGCTTTATAGCTCCACATCTGCACAGCTTTATGATCAAGTTTCCAGGTTTGGCTGTTAACTATTCTGTACCTAAAACAAAGCGGGGACCTTGCAGGATGGGAGCAGGCCCCTGCCCTTTAGGGATTTACAGTTTTGTGCTTCAACTTGGCAATACTTTGCATGCTACTACACATGAGCAGGGGAAATGTGTTCAGGCACTACATTTAGACATTCTGCTACTTTCTCAAAACTGTAGTTTTTCTTTGACTCTCTGCAGTATGACTTTTCTTTAACCTGGAACAAAATCCCCTTTCACGCCTGTGCTTATTGAGGAGTGAGGAGGGTAGGGGTGGGAGCAGTGGGAGGAAGTGTGAAGAATGCATTTATCCCCACGGAAAGAAAAACAAAAGGGTGAGTTTGGGGAAAAAAGCAGGCCTGAAGACACAGCATGGGCAGGATCCTAGCTCAGGATAAGGGCTTGCGCTTTATTTGGAGAAAACAAGTACAAAGCAACAGGGATGCCACAGCACCAGCATGAAGAATGGGGAATGCACTCAGGGAGGCATCTGCTGCTTCCCAGCAAAACCCTGAGTTTTTTCTCAGCCACTAAATATTAGGTGAACTTTTAATGTCTCACTAAAAACAAGCAAAACAATTTTGCAGCATTCATCCTCTGCTAAACAAAACAAACACCCACTGCTGCTTTAACAGAAGGAAGAAATCACAAGGCACAGAACAACATGTGTCCCAAGCCTTTCTCCCCTCAAAAACTGAAAGAAGAGAAAGAAAAGCAAAGCCTAGATTTCCTGCAATTAGATGAGGTATGGCTCTCAAAAATTGAAAGCTATAATTAGGGATGTTTGGAAAGAATAACAGGGAAGCACCTTCCTACCACACTGAAACACATTTTCTAGAGAAAGATCTGGGCAATGACTGGGTGGAAATGGTTCAGTTTTTGCTTTTTTAAAAGATCTGAAGCAAAACAGGGACCGTCCCTACTAAATGCAAAGCTTTTTGCTACTTTAGGAAGTTTCCCCCAAACTCAGCTACATTTAAAGTATTCTACAGACTCATAATTTTAATTTAAAGAAACAAACAAATCCACACTTTTTTTTTCCTTCCAAAGCTGCATCTGTTTTACACTGCTGCTTTGTCACTCCTGAGCTCAGGGAAAGTACCTCCAGCAAAGGCAGAAGCAGAAGAAGTGCAACAACAGTAGAAATGCAACCAATTCAGTTAAAGAAGGTGCGAACTCCAAACCTTGTTTGATACGAGCTGCTGTATACTTATCTGTAATTGCAGCCACTGATTTCTGAAGAGGATGCGGAATCAGATGACTATACACCATGAAAGATTAAACGGGCAAGGTTAAGGTTGGATGTGCAAGTGCTTGACACAAGTGACTCCTTGCATGAGCTGCATTCTGCAGGCTAATAAATAAGCCTTGAAAATAATATCACAAACTTCCACACACTTACCTGATTAATGCTTGGCCTCCCTTGCTTTTTCTTTGAGGTAGTATCCAGCCCCCAAAGAGAAGAAAACCTGCTTCTCCGTTTACTGGCAGATCTGGACATGGCCTGCGTCCTTCTCCTCACTCCGGACTCCCCTGTGCGAGCCGCCACCTGTCAATGCCACATGGTTTTAAAATCAAAGGTCTCCGCATCCCACCGCACCATGGCTTACATAATCTAAGAAGCGGTGGAATCTGGTTTGAAAAAAAGGCAAATACTATGGCAACAATGTGTACTCACAACGGGGACAATGGTGACGTTGCCAGGCTACTTCCTTCTCACTGCAATTTAACTTACTTCTTCCAACGTCAAACATAAAAAATTAAAATGGACAGTGCCCCCTCCCCCCCCCCATTTTTTGGTATTTAATCTGAGATACTTTGAAGCAGCCTAATCATCACAGAGCAAAGCCTCAGCACCAGTGAAAGGTTTGGGGTTTTTTTTTTCTTGGTTTTTTTTTTTCTTTCTAACAAGGTATCAAAGCTGGACACACAAAACCTGAGATTTCCAAACTTATCTGTTGCTTCGGAAAAGCCTGGTCTTTCTCTTTGCTCTTTCCTGTGGAAGCACTCTGGGCATCCCGGAACTGACTCATAACTGTTACAAGGCCAGATAAAGGCTTGCAAATAGGTCAAGGCATTTAAAACCTGCACTTCCTTAAAGATAGCAACATCTGAAGGAGTGAGCAAAACACAGGAAGAAAAAAAGTGAGCTGAAATGACCCTTTCAATTAGAACAGTGTTAACTGCTTGGGTACTTGAAAAATGGCCTGTGGCAACCCCTTTGGAGTGAAAAGATATTTGCCTTTCCTGAGATGAAGTATTTGGGGAGCGTTTCCCAAATGAGGAAGCTCTGGTAGAAATTAGTGCAGCGCTAGTCAGAGGTGAAGTGTTTAGGCCAAAGTTTAAGCAGATTTCCCATGTGGAGGTAGCCTCAGGAGAGTGAGCTCTTCTCCTGCGAAAAAGGGAGTGGTAGGAGATGGCAGGTATGAACGGGAGCGCAAGGCGAAGCTAGACAGACAGACAGACCCACCCTGCCGACTTGGCTATATGCTTCCTGGAACACCTTTGTACTGGATTCCCACAGTCGAAACTAGAAAAATGTGACTGTCGTTTGGCAACCCCAGCGGGAACACCCGAATCTCTGAATGACGCCCCAAGCTACAGAGCTGAGGAGCTGAGAAACTGGTTGTCTGGGTGCAGCAGATACAAAAACCCAGATAAAGATGGGATGAAGAGAAGGCTGGCTCGTGCGCCCAGGGAACCATCGCTGCATGAGTAATGGTGATTCTCCTTGGGAAACGTGGAGAAATCAAGGAAAAGGAGAACTTAAAACACTACTGACAGCGCCTCCATTTCCACAGCCTGGACTTGCGAGACATTTCTTAGCTGTACCTGGGACATTTGTGCAGAGGTACCTGGGAGACTTAGCACATCCTCTGACTAATGCACTGAGGAACACCTTCCGGAGAGCTAGGGATGCCACGCTATCACCATGCAGCACCCAGCTCGAGTCTGAGACTCACTGCACCATCTCCTCGCTATTGAGGGCAAAGGAGGACACGAGAGTTTGCTTAAAGGAGAAGAAAGCACGTGTCTTTTCCAACACAACATATTCAAAATGTATTTTTTTTTTCACTTGGCTCTCAAGAGACACCAGCATGAAGAGGCAGACTGTTTTTCAGGCTAACGCTCAGTGCTTTACTAGATGCAAAAAAATAAGCATAAATGCAAATTACAGCCCGCCACTTAAAAAAAATATATAAATCCACCAGCAATTATCAGGATGATGACGCTAATCTTTTCATATATAAAAGAATAAAAACGCCCCTGACTGAATTACAGCTCTGGATTCAATTGAAGGGTACAGCTGACATCTACAAGACAACAGTGGAGCTCAGCTATTTCTGTGAAGCTCCAGGAGTCCAAGCTGAAACTACAGGAACTTGATTTAAATTCATTAAAAAAACATCACTTTGCAATACATTTCCCTGTATTTTTAAGTGATGGGTTGTTACATTATTTAAATTTAAACAACCATTTTAAACATTATTTGCCACACCATAAGCAGCAGAGAACATTTCCCCTGCCTTGTGGATCATCAGGTGTAGATGACTGGAGACCAGATACTAGACTACTTGGCCAGTAGTTTCTTCCATATGGTAGAAAGCAAGCCATGCCCAAGAAGGTCTAAGCCAACATGTGCTGAGGGCTCCTGAAAGACTCCCATTGACTTCACAGGGCTTTTGGATCAAGCCCATGTACGTGGTCATTAGAGATGGGCCTGCTCTTGTAACAGGAAGACCTGTTTAGAGAAAACATGTTTGTAGCACAGATCTGGAAATTCAAAATCACATGTTTAGAAGAAACACGGTTCTTCCACTTCCATAAGGCCATGGCTTACAAGCATCTGCTTTTTAATCTATATCCAGGACATACACCCCTTTCAGGAAGCAGAATATTCTGCACCCTAAGGTAAGGGCTCACTCCCCAGGCACAGACCACTGTTTGTCGACGTGATCTCTGCATTGGACAGTGAATCGATTTGCAAGTTGGCAAAGATGACCCTTGGCCTTTGTTCAAACTTACCAGTGCATGAAACGATGAGACTGAAAAGATTCCAAGACGGCCCATCGCAACTTTTGTTGGACGGCTGGCAAAAGCAAGCAGTCTTTTAGGGTTTGGGAGCTCCCCTCCTTGGAGACTTGCCAAGTAACAGCGGTACCGAAATAGGTCCATCTGGAACTGTTCAAGATTTTGTTCCCAAACAAAGATCTGTGTACAGCAAAGATTGAGGAGCAAGACGCATGAGAAAAGAAGGGGAAAGGAGGAAGAACAGGGTGGTAAATACCTTGAAAAAATTCTACTCTTCCCAGCAACACACTTTTTTCACCAATGTTGATCTCACTCAAGAAACCTTGATTCCCTTTCTTTCCCACTCTCCCAACCCCAAACAGGGTGCAAATAATAAAGAAGTTTTCATTAGATGGAAAACAACTTTTTTTAGGTTCGTGGCAGAAGCCTTCTCCTGGGACAACTGCTTCTTTGATTCAAGGCTAATTAATAGGATTAAAATTTCATTTTTAATTTTCTTTGCATTCCAGGATTCTCTTCTGAGGAGTCCCTTAAGAGGCTTCTTTCATGCATCAAGGGCATCTGAGAAACAAGACCACCAAACCCCACCAAATTCCACATACAGAGCACCCCGAATCAGCAGCAGCAGCGTTGCTGTAAGCATCAACGGAACTCACCATACTTGAAAAAGTATAGTACACTAGGGATAATTAGTCTTATCAGCGGAAGAGCACTATAATCAGCCTATGTAAGGACTTACTTAAATAATTCAAATTGCTGATAGGAAACAGTTTCAAAGCATTTAGAAAAACTCAGTTACATAAAGAGAGGGAACGCTCTGCCCTCTCACTGTGATTGACAGCCTTTGAGTGGAGCCCTTTCGACTGAGGCGAGCATCTCCCCCCTCTCTCCCCACTTCTCACAGGCTTCCAGGGGGTATGAAATCTCTTTAGCTTAGAGCATTAGGGCCCTGGCTGCTCCCTATGGTTTGCATTACAGACGCGTTTGGCAGCCATGGTAAAAGAGCTACAAATTAATGAAGCAAGAGCCATATGTTAGTTTCCTAAAATAAGGTGCCACTGCGGCAGCGTGAGAGACATCTGCTCTAGGCTCTCTGCTTCTCAAATGCAACTACATTGCCCACTTGAAGTCAGAAGGAGTGGTCCTGAGGGGCAGACAGGGTTGCAGCCATGAGGTCAAGGCAGGCCCCCACAATGAATAGAAACCAGGGATGGCTTCTTCATCCCATCTGCCAGCAGAAGAACCAGCCTCTTGCACTCTTAAGACAACAGCAACAGCAGCATTTGTCTGTCTATGACCAGCTCTTCCCTAAGGCATCCTGCTGCCTGGTAGCCTCTTCACACCCCTAAAGCCCTCACTCAACCTCCTTGCAGCTTGCCAAATCCCTTCCATGGAGGCCAGAAGAAGACAGCCCATGCTATACCTTAGTGCATGTTGTTTGGTGAAATGGTGCAACTAGGGCAGCAGGCACAACTCTCCTGCCAACACACGTCCTGCCTACTCTGGGGAGCTCTGCCAGCGCACACACATGGCACAGTGGGAGCAGACAGAGGTACCGCAAACCTGAAGAAGGCCTTACTTATTTGCTAGGGATTTATTTCACATAAGAAAGCGAGATTACTTGATCCAGTATGGTCTTCTTTTTCTTGGAGTCCGTTACTGAGGACAGCTGCATTTCACCCATTTTCTTCATCTTTTCATCCATATCAATCTTCTGCTCCAGCTTTTTTATCTCTGTCTTCAGGAGCTTGACGGTGTCCTCTTTGTGATGCTGCCTTGCCACCGCGGTTGCACAGGCTGAATGGATTGCAGTGATCCAGTTCTCCAGTTCGGTCTGGCTAGAGGTCTGAAGAGAGGGAAAGGGAGAAAAGAAGTCAGGATCCTCTTTAAAACTGATTGGAGATTAACAAATGCAATTCCAAGGAGTTTCCTTTCCCTTTGATCTTAAGATTCAAAGCCTTAAATCCACTTACGAGAGAAGTAATAAAAACCCCATCACTCTTAAGCAGGCCATTTTTAGCTCAGCACTAGGCATTCAGCACTTGGAATTACACCTATATCTGTGCTTTGCAGCTGTACAGTGTTTCCCAGCAAGGTCTCAGGAATTACCTTCCTTGTTCAATGCATTGCTGCCGTAATTTGTAGCTCAACATCTAATGATGTTTTCTAAACTCCCAGTTCCTTAAGGCAGGGAATGTACCAGCCTCTGTGCTCTTCACAGTATGGAGAGGTTTTTTCACATGCAACAGTTAGTAATAAATTAATGGCATAAAACATGACCATGATATCTACGATTAGCTTTATTATGATGCATGGACAAACAAGGTTTCCACTTCTGAAGGTCCCAAAGCACTCCGAAGTCAACCCTGTTATCATTAAAGCCAGGCTCATCACAATTTTTGCACTGTCCCTTCCCAAGCATCTGTGTGACAGTTCAGGAAAAGGGAACACTTCCACGCTCTGGAAGTGTTCAAGGCCAGGTTGGATGAGGCTTTGAGCAACAGGTGTCCCTGCCCATGGCAGGGGGGTTGGCACTAGATGATCTTTAAGGTCCCTTCCAACCCAAACCATTCTATGATTCTATGAGATATTGGGCTGAGGCATGGGACACCAGTACATTTTTCTGGAAGAGTGCTATTCTGATTAGAGGCTTCTGACACAGAAAGAAGAGTATTTCAAAGTGTTCCTTTTCCAGACTTCCAAAATAAAAAGTAAATCATCTTAGCCTTCTTACTAAACCACATTCCTTTTTACAGTAGGTTGTAAAACAAAATTTACAGCCAACTCAGGCTTGCAGCGGACTTTCTCTGAGTGTCAGCCTTTAGCAGTAATCACACTGGTATTTGGCTTGTGGCTGAAAAAGTAGCAAGGTGCCAAACCACCTTGTTCTAATTAAGCTTTCTGATGATACCTGATCTATAAATAGTACAGTGTGACTTCTCCAGTTGCTGGCATAGATGAAGAAGGTCATCCTCACTGCTTTCCTGGAGCTGAAAACTAACAGCAAAGGACATGGCTTACTGAAGCCAAGGAGAGACTCCCACAGAAGCCTGATGCTGGAAATCATGTGTGCACAGGCCAGACTTCAGACCAGTGCTCCCAAAACTTCTGTGGGACTGAAGCAGATGAAGCACACACGTCCCCGAATGGCATCACTTTCCTTATCTCAGGTTAGAAGTCCTAAGCAGAAGACAGAGTCTACATTGCAAAGACCTATCTCTAATTTTCTTGTCTTCAGTTGGCATGGTACAAAGTATATTGCTTAAATTGGAGATGCTCCCTGCCCAGGTAGTAACACTAATGAGCTGTCATTCATAGATGGGGCTTACAATCATTCATAGATGGGGCTTACAATGCCTTAGCACCACTGCTGAAGACATATTGAGCTCCTCTTGCTGAGGATTTTCTGCTGAAAATATAGAAATTAGCTGCAGAACAGAAGACACTTTGGTTACAGTCAGGTGGTACAACCTAGCCCCCACTAGAGAAGAGAGTACCACTGGACTTACAGTGAGGTGGTATGTTTTGTTAATTCCTAGCAAAATCATAACAGCAAGACATCATCTTTTTACCTTATTTAATTTTAAAATAATATCTGTATACCATGAGATTCAGTTTTCTTTTTGGCTTCCTGAGGAGAAGGAGGGAAAAAAAAGCTGGAAAGAGTTTTAGGAGCTGAAGACTCTTCTGATAGATGAGTAGGCAAGGGGAATTACTCTGCTTCTCAACGGAAAGGACCACATAAACAAGCTGCAAACATCTGATACATAAGTATGTGGTGTCACAAGTTGCTCTGAGCTCCTGGAAAATGCATGTGACATCTGCAAGTAACTCCCAGTTCCTTAAGGCAGGGAATGTACCAGCCTCTGTGCTCTTCACAGTATGGAGAGGTTTTTTCACATGCAACAGTTAGTAATAAATTAATGGCATAAAACATGACCATGATATCTACGATTAGCTTTATTATGATGCATGGACAAACAAGGTTTCCACTTCTGAAGGTCCCAAAGCACTCCGAAGTCAACCCTGTTATCATTAAAGCCAGGCTCATCACAATTTTTGCACTGTCCCTTCCCAAGCATCTGTGTGACAGTTCAGGAAAAGGGAACACTTCCACGCTCTGGAAGTGTTCAAGGCCAGGTTGGATGAGGCTTTGAGCAACATGTGTCCCTGCCCATGGCAGGGGGGTTGGCACTAGATGATCTTTAAGGTCCCTTCCAACCCAAACCATTCTATGATTCTATGAGATATTGGGCTGAGGCATGGGACACCAGTACATTTTTCTGGAAGAGTGCTATTCTGATTAGAGGCTTCTGACACAGAAAGAAGAGTATTTCAAAGTGTTCCTTTTCCAGACTTCCAAAATAAAAAGTAAATCATCTTAGCCTTCTTACTAAACCACATTCCTTTTTACAGTAGGTTGTAAAACAAAATTTACAGCCAACTCAGGCTTGCAGCGGACTTTCTCTGAGTGTCAGCCTTTAGCAGTAATCACACTGGTATTTGGCTTGTGGCTGAAAAAGTAGCAAGGTGCCAAACCACCTTGTTCTAATTAAACTTTCTGATGATACCTGATCTATAAATAGTACAGTGTGACTTCTCCAGTTGCTGGCATAGATGAAGAAGGTCATCCTCACTGCTTTCCTGGAGCTGAAAACTAACAGCAAAGGACATGGCTTACTGAAGCCAAGGAGAGACTCCCACAGAAGCCTGATGCTGGAAATCATGTATGCACAGGCCAGACTTCAGACCAGTGCTCCCAAAACTTCTGTGGGACTGAAGCAGATGAAGCACACACGTCCCCGAATGGCATCACTTTCCTTATCTCAGGTTAGAAGTCCTAAGCAGAAGACAGAGTCTACATTGCAAAGACCTATCTCTAATTTTCTTGTCTTCAGTTGGCATGGTACAAAGTATATTGCTTAAATTGGAGATGCTCCCTGCCCAGGTAGTAACACTAATGAGCTGTCATTCATAGATGGGGCTTACAATCATTCATAGATGGGGCTTACAATGCCTTAGCACCACTGCTGAAGACATATTGAGCTCCTCTTGCTGAGGATTTTCTGCTGAAAATATAGAAATTAGCTGCAGAACAGAAGACACTTTGGTTACAGTCAGGTGGTACAACCTAGCCCCCACTAGAGAAGAGAGTACCACTGGACTTACAGTGAGGTGGTATGTTTTGTTAATTCCTAGCAAAATCATAACAGCAAGACATCATCTTTTTACCTTATTTAATTTTAAAATAATATCTGTATACCATGAGATTCAGTTTTCTTTTTGGCTTCCTGAGGAGAAGGAGGGAAAAAAAAGCTGGAAAGAGTTTTAGGAGCTGAAGACTCTTCTGATAGATGAGTAGGCAAGGGGAATTACTCTGCTTCTCAACGGAAAGGACCACATAAACAAGCTGCAAACATCTGATACATAAGTATGTGGTGTCACAAGTTGCTCTGAGCTCCTGGAAAATGCATGTGACATCTGCAAGTAATGGATTTGTGTAGGCATGATAAGAACTGACTGAGCAAGGAATCATCATGTAGGAGGTATGTGATGTCTCTAGGTGCAATGCAGTGGGAAGGCTTGTTACAAGATGTTCAATACCAGTACGCATTACAATGCAACCCTGTTTTTCTCCCTAAGTACACAGTCTCCATAGGACAGAAATAGTCTTCTGCAGGTCTGTGGTTTCTTCTCACCAAAACCGCTACTACAGCACTGTCTTATGTGTGGATGGACGTGTATGACATGAGCAGTTAAGTAACACTGAACACTGCCTTACACGTGCTTCGGCTGCTCTGCGCGCAGCAGAGCAAGCCCTGCAGCGCAGTCACTCACACATTACTTTCACCACTGCAGCTGGTCCCCTTCCCTTCTCCCCAAACCCATCCCTTCTTTCTCTTCTCCTTCCACGTCGTTAGCGATGCATGGGTTCTATGGCAGAAGGGACACATGAAGGAAAAATTTCTGCAAGGCAATTTAAATTATTGTTTTTCATTTGAAAAGGCTCATTCTTTTTTTCCCACAGTTACATGAAAATCTACCCCTGGCACAATGACACAAGGCTTTTAATGAATAACGCCCTGTGTCGCCACAAAAGAAATGTACTCCATGTGACCTTTTTGGCATTTAGCTTCCACTGGCATTAATTTTACGAGAATGAAGGTTTTTCCTTAGAAAACTGCATGGAAAAGATTTTACAGCTCCTTTATCAGGAGGAGGTGGTGCTCCACAGCCTTTCAAACGCATGCTGAGACCATAAGCACCATGCTTACCTCCTGGATGAAGCTCTCCAGGTGGCAAAATACATGTACCCTGCCCAGGAAAGGCATGCAGTAGAAAGAGGCAGCGCAGTATTACACTATGAGCTGAGGAAAAATCAGACTGAGGTGCTGGGGAAGATAGTTTGCAAAAAAATTACTTTTTTTTCCAGCATGCAATCAGATACTCAGTCTCCTCAAGATGTAGGCTGGCATAACTTCCTTTGAGTCAGTAAGGCTTTTTTTATTTTGCACTAGTTTGAGAATCTAGCCCCCTGTTTAGGACAGCTGCAAGGACTACGAGACAGTGTAATTTTAAATATTTGCTCTGGAGTAGAAGGAAGTGATGACATAGGGGCACATCCTACCACAGAGTAGCTATGGTTTAAAACCGCAAGAAACTCTGAGTACCTTGTCACTGGAAAAGGAAATAAATAAGGGATTCCTCCAGTGAAGAAAACTGAATCAAAAGGGAAGGAAATGGCACCAGCTCAGCACAGGCTGGCAATTACAAATCAAAGAGTGTCACACCTTGACTAGTGACAACTTGCAATAAGAAAGTGGAATGCCAACCTAAGAATCACTCAGGGAAGCAATAGTTGCCAAAATACAGAAATCTTTTCCAGTGAAACACATCAACGAGTGTTCGGTCTTTGATACAAGAACTGGCGTTTTTTTTAAACATAACCTGTGAAATTCAGACATTTCTGTTTTCTGATTAGAAAAACTAAACATGCACTTTCAGTCTCCTCTCGGGCAACAGCAAGGTGCTGACTAAGTTCTGTATGAACAAGGGGCAACTGGATTCCGCAGCACCCTTGGGAGAACACCTGGAGGTCCAAGTAACCCATCGCACTTCAAACTCCTCTTGGTCTTGTAAACCCCTTGAGCCTCTCCGCAAGGTCCCATCTTTGATACACGTCTCTTAAGAGAAGCAGATAGTGTTACATCACGTTTAATGCACTACTCTATGTCCTATATGGTAACTGGCCTGATCTCTGTGTGATAAGCACGCTGTCAAACCATGCAAAATTCCCAGTTTTTACAGGGATGTCAGAATATTTCTTAATTCTTACTTTGTTCCAACGACCTACACAAAGAAGGCAGGGTCAGTCAATAAAACCAGCAGATCTGACAGTGATTCACATGTGGTGGTGGCTCTTCTGAGTGGCAGTTACCAAATATACTGTGTCCTTCCTCTTGCACTGCCAGAGGAAAATCTCAAACCTACTGGAGTCAGCAGGATTTTTCCATTGATTTGAACCAGAGATATTATTTCCTCCTTGGTCAGTGGGATGAAGGAAAAGAGAGAAAAAGAGAACAACTTTGTAAAACCCTCGAACCAGACCAACCTGAAAGAGGAAAGCGTCCCCAAGGGAGTTGCTGAGGCAGAAGACAAAGTCTTTCTTGGGGTGTTCAGGCACTGCTTGCACTATGCTGTTTTCCACCCAGACGGCGTGCTTTGGGATGCTGTTGTGGTCAATGCCAGATCTGCCATCAGTCTCATAAAAAAACAACGTGCATCCTGAAAGAGATTATCTTATATTAGCCAGCAACACATTTAAACACAACAGCCTGCCCCCCATGTATTCAGTGCTAATACTTGGGACTGTAAATCGTCCATAAAACTCTCACAGGGATGAGGGAGGATTTGCCAGGTTCAGGTTTGTTCAGGTTTTCAGCCCCACAGCAGAAAGGACCAGCAGCAGCCCAGTTGGCCTGACAAAATGGTGATTTCCATGCCATGGGGGCATGCCACAGGCTGCATGGTGCACCAAGCCACGTGTTACCAGGGCCATTTTATTCACCCTACAACTGCTAAAAGCTGCAGACATGAACCGAGAAGGTGGTAAAACACAGCCCCAGATGAGAAACATCATTGTAAGTCCCAAAGTGGGGGTCCTCCACAGCCACCCCGACCCACCAAGGGGACCAAAAGGAAGATGGAGGCACGAGAGCGTGTCTCCCATGGCACTGCCTGACAGGTGTGAGCCAGCCCCACCGAAAACCTCCGTGGCCCTGCCTCAGCCGCCTGCAGCTGCTAGCTGCTATAGTCCCTGCAAGGCAAAGATCAAGTGATTTAATTACTGGATGCAGATGAGTAACTGGAAGAAAAATGGACTGGAATGAGCTGTGCTCACTGCAAGACTGATGTACAAAAAAGCCCCCCAACGAACCAACAAAAAGCATAAGCCAAATCCTTATTCCACTGTAACGTTTCAGCTCTGACTCATGGCGATATGGCCAAAACCAAAAAGGCATTTTTAGCTAGAGACAGCAAAGAAACAACAGCAGCTGTTAACTTCAAAGCCTCGCTTAAACACTAACATTATTAAGGCACAGCAATCTAAGGAGCAAACACTCCACTTGAGTCAAAGCACTTTAAAATAACATTGCCTCTGCACTCATCCTTCCCCTTTTTCCTCCCAGATGGCCCTTTGTTTGCCTGCCCCTCACAGCAAGACCTTCCTGCCCCAGGGCCCCCCAAAAACAGTGCTCTCCAAAAAATGCTCTGTAGGCAAAATGGGGCTTTAACTGTACTGAGCTTTTTGGTAACTGCACTTACAGCAGGAAACACGGCTCTGCCTCCCCTGGCTCACAGACGAGGCCGGTCACAGGGGAGGAGAGCGAGGCCAGTCCCCAAACCCTGCAAGCACTGCTTCCCATTTTGCTGCTGATGCTACCGCATGAAGATTAATTACAGGTCACTTTAGGAGGCCAGCTCCTGAGTTTCACTGTTCCATTAACATTTATGTGCATTTATAAGCAGTCAGACCCCAAACAGGGCTGGAGCACCCTCCTAGCAGGAACCACAAAAATTCAGAGGGAAAAGGTTCTGTGGCCCGAGCAGCTGAGAAGGACAAGGCGGGCAGAGCCAACACAGGCAAAGCCAACATCTCCCAGGTCACAAGCCAGCCTCGATGACCAAACCATGGATTCCCTGTCCACAGCACAAATGTGTTGTGACTTGTCTCAGAGAAGGAGAGGCCAACGGCACCAAGAACAAGAGGAATGCCTGCAAAGATGGAGCCCCTGCTTGACTGCGTGCCAGCAGCCAGCATCACCACTAGCAAACTCCCACTGTCACATGCCTGCGGCTGCACACAGGTATTTAGTTTGTCAGCAAGACACAGACATGCTTCTCGAAGGAAAAACACCCAGTGCTCAGAGAAGCCACCCCAGGTGGTGCCAGCAGGACTCAAAGCAGGGTATGAACCTGTATCTGGGACTACACACATGCCGTAATGTCACCGTATCAACAACCATCAAATGAAACCCCGCTCTGAAAACACCAGGACCACTTACTCATGCTTGCTGTTAATTATACTGAGGTTCACAGCACCTTTTGTTAAGAATCTAGACTACTGGTTACTTCATCTGCAGCAATACACAAACCACAGGATACCATGGATGCCCATGGGGACAAACCCTTGCGCGCTTGCTCTGTACCTTTCAGGGAAACCCAGTAATGCTTCCATTTTCTGCGGGTGGCCGACTCCACTTTCTTGTTCTTTTTGTGCACCAGGAAGTTTTTCACTGCCAAAGCACCGGCTTTCCGCACCGTGCCCTGGGCGGCCGTCAGGAGGATGTCGGACTGCCCCGGGGAGCTGAGGGTGCCACTGCTTTGCTCGTCGCTGAGGGCAGAGCCGGCCTCCTCCAGGTTCTCGCTGTTGGTGGTGCTCATCTCCAGCTCCCGGCGGAAGTTCTCGTACACCCCCTGGCGAAGCCCATCGCCTGTTGAGCTGCTCCCGCTGTCACTGCCGATGAAAGCCCGACTGGCCGTCGGGGAGTAACTCGAGTTGGTGGCATTGGAGCGCCTAGAAAGGAGGTCGGTGTCGGTGGCTGCTCCCTCGATCCCACTGTCGGTGAACTCGCTCCCCTCGCCTGTGTTGACATCCTAGTTGCAAGAGAGACACAGCGTGAGATGAAGAGCCTGGCTGAGCCTGTGTGACACCGACAGAACCCAAAACACCCAGGTGGCACCACATTTCTTCACACCCTCGTTTTGTCTGGCACTGGAAATCCCTCATCTCTTTTTTCTTCTTAAGACATACAACTGGAAGAAAAGGTGAGGTAGGCAGAACTTCCAGTACAGTTTAGGAAAGACCAGTCACACGTGCACGATTTCAGGTGGTGCCTCTACAGCCTTAGAATTTTGGAATATAAGACGCAGCATCATCTGTTTACATTAAGCTAAGTTAGCAGTGCTAAAGGTTTTGCAAAAGGAGAACATATGGTAGCAGAAACTGGCAGTGTCAAGAAAAGCAGCAATCAACCTACGCATTTTGAAAAGAAAACATTGATATTGTACATTCACGCCTACAGTTGAAGATACATTTTAGATATCCCGAGATTGTCATTTGCAAATTATATAACTAAAAAGGTACTTTTTTCTTATTTTCTCCTAAGAAGTTAATGTATTTGAGACTATTTCTGTTTTGTGTCGCTTCTACATCACAAACCCCAACAATGGGCCAGAATCCCATGGTGATAGACCCTGCCAAAATACTGCAATAACAGCAGACCCTTCCTGGTCCCCAAGAACTTGCAGCTGAAGGATCAGAAGAGACATGAATACGGCCAGCTTGAGCAAGACAGGAAAAAACACGACCAAATTCAGGTTTTGAAGGCTTAGTGGCTCACAGCCTGGCCCCTGCATCAAGGTTAGTGCCCGAAGGGGGCTAGCCACTACCATCTCAGCACCCAAAGGCATCTGGGGCAGCTTTTGATGGAGGACAAATAAAGGCCAAGCCCTGTAAGTGGAGAGAAATATCTTATGTTAGATACTTGGGAGAAGAGGGAACCAGGGAAGACGATGCAAAGAGGTGAGAAATACGACCAAAACAACAGGAATTTCAGCCTCTACCTCTCCTTGCAAGAGCAGCTGGTGCTTGATCTACAAGTTTTAAAAAAAAATAAGAGGAGACTCTGAGAAGAGGCGGCAGAATGCAGTATTTATTTTGAGAGAAAACAAGCTTCTGAGTGTTGGTTCGAGCACCAGTTTTCTATGCATCCAAGAGCAGCTCTGTGGAAACCAAGAAACCCTTACACCGAGCTCTGTTTGTAACCTTCCTTCTGTGGAGCAAGAGCTGGATGAGGAAACCTTAGGGGGAGGGGAGGGGTGTTGCTGAATTTGACTAACTTTTAAGGCATTAATTTGTAACGGATGGGCTCATTCCTTATAAACGCTACCTCTCAAGGGAGACTTGGGAGTCCAGCTGGAAGAATAAGCGCTTCCTTCCCCGCTCAATGAGCACAGTTACCCTCATCAGTCTGGTTATTTAATGCAACACACAGTGATAGGCAAGCTGTTCCGGACAGGCCAATATTCCTCTACTCCCACCACATGTGAATGAGCTGAGCAGGGCTTCCTGTAAGTGCAGTTGTCTACCCGTGCAGAGCAGGTTTCACAACCACAAGTTTTTTCCTGCTGTTTCAATACACTTGTTTTTTTGGAAGCCAGTTATCTTCCCATTCCTTGCAGCACTGTGAAGGAGGGGTATCTGGAGAGGGGAACTGGTGCTGCTCAGAAACTGGTGTTTACAAAACACTGCCGCGAGTGAGTTTTTCCACTCCACCACGAAAAGCTGGATGGTGTAACTTCTGATGACAGCGCTCCATCTGAGACCCCGCGCGTCAGGGAGAGCCAGGACTGGCACGGCCCCTCGCACGCCCAAGGCACTGCCTCTCTGCCAACACAGCTACATGGGCGTAAAACCAGAGCGCCAAAGAACTGAACTGGATCCCCTGTGTTCATAGAATCACAAAATCATTAAGGTTGCAAAAGACCTCCAAGATCATCACGTCCAACCATCAACATAACACCACCATGCCTACTAAACCGTCTCCCGAAGTGCCATGTCTACACATTTTTTGAACACCTCCAGGGACAGTGTCTCCACCTCCTCTCTGGACAGCCCATTCCAATGCTTGACCACTCGTTCAGTACAAAAATTTTTCCTAATATCCAATCCAAGCTTGGGATAATTATTCCCATAGAATGATCAGGGTTTGCACTTGTTTTCTGGGCCCTTCCTCCTCCATAACTTTTTTAAACAGAAAAAGCGTGCCACTCATACAGCATAAACAAATCTGCATTCTGCAGTGAACACTGCATAACAGTGGTTAACAAAAAATACTTGCAGTTTTGAGATTTTTATTTTAGGTTAACGACTTAATAAATATACAATCTGTCTCATAACTATTTTATCCATGCTATACAAAAAGCATAGCGTTAACTCCAAAATTCTAGCTGATATAACTTTTTAGCAAGCATATCTCATGTTTTAACGAGAATTAAGTCGGTTTAAAAAAATAAAGAGCTACTAAAACAGACCACCAATTTGAGGGAGATAGGATTTGTAATTTTCCCAGCCAGTGTATGCATAAAATTTTCCTGGTGCTTTTTAGCAGATGGAGTATTTTTTCAAAAAACAGAAGTGCACCCAGAGATGTCCAAGCACAGCGCTGCAATGCAGGCTCTCAAGGTTCCTCATGCCCAGGGTGACACAGCCGTCTTGTGGAACCTTGATGAGACACAGCATTAACCGCCTTGGTTTCCCAACCGTAAATGGGGATTATACTCTGTAACTGATACATGGGCATAACAGCTTACTATTTATAAAAAAATGAAAGGATGGAAAACTCAGAGTGAGTGTTACACACGCTCATGAGCTTAAATCGTAGCACATTTTGCAAACATCTTTATAATCTTTACCACAATGCAAGTGATAAACTGGATGGGTCAAAAGATCTTTTCAGCATAACGCTGCAGCCTTGCCCCTAATCTCGCTCTGCTCCCTGTGCTCCCTTTTCCTCTCTTAAACGTGCCGTATCAAAGACTTCTTGCCAACCCGTGCAAGCCCTTTGGTAGGAGGAGGGTCTGAGCATACAAAGGTCAGAACAGTTCAAAACCTATAGTCTGCTAACACTGTTCATGCTCATGAATTATGAAATGTAGCATTGAGTGAACTTAGCACTTTCGGAAGTCTGCTGTATGAGCAGATCGGTCTCAGGGTTAGTAGGGTTAAGAGCATTCATCGCACAGGTCTCTGACTTCTGAGCTCCTGCTGCAATGTCAGCTCGTTCTCATCGGAGGGTATGAAAAGCTCTGAAGAAGCAGCCAGCATCTGCTCTGGCTGTCTTGCAGTGCTATAATCCGCACACTGAAGCACATTCAACTAGGAGTTCCGCAGAAAGTACAGAGGTTTAGCATTGTGCTTCCCCAGAAATGTGCCGAGGCTGAAGGGGTAACACTCCCAAGCCAGGCAACAAACCGCAGCAGGGTTTGACAAACACATCACTGGGGGCACAGAACTACTCCTGCAAATTTTCAAACCAGGATGCTGAAAATTAAGCACCCCAGCTTGCACCATGAGCAGCACAGCTCCCCGCTGACAAGATCGATGTGGATACACGGGCCCCTAGCTTTGGACACCAGCCTTCGAAGTACCCACTGACATGGCCAGCAGGGGCTACTGCCCAGACGCGAAGCGAACATTGCGTAACCTTGATAAGAGCTATTTAAAAATCAGTCACAAAAATCAGACACAAAAATCAGCTCAGGTTCTCTAAAAGCCCTGTGGGTGCAACATCTCTCTCCTCCGAGGAAGAGTTATTACCATCCCGGGGGTCCATGATGGGATGCACCACAGAGGCTTGCTAACGAAACAGGCATTTCACTCCTCGGCAGGAGTTCCCAGGTAAAGACTCTTGAGGCCAAGAGTGAACTGCAGATACGGCTCAGTCTTCCCCCCTCTGATTCCTACCCAGCACCCCTGCGGCTCTCCAGCAGGATGCTGATGGCTCGTGCCATGCACATCGCAGGCACTGGGAGACAGCTGAAGACTGCAGAATGCGCATTTCTGAAGCCTGCAGTTTTGGACATTATACATACGTTACAACAGATCACCAGCACATTACTCTCGACTTGTAATTACTATCATCAAGGGGCTCTGTTTTATTTACTGGTTAAAACCCCCCCAAAAGTTTCATTCAGCTCTGTGTAAGACTCAGGACACTGCACCTGATATTTTGCACCTCGCCAGAGATCTTATGGTTTGTATTTTCAGGCTGGCAAACAGCTGTGTCCAGACAGAGGAACATTTTTGCCCAGAGAGACCATCCCAGGAACCAAATGCAAGACTGGAACTAAAATCTGTGCTGCCCTGCTTAGCTTTCCCACTGGTGTTTACCTAGCTTCGGGCCTGCGAGGACAAGAGGGCAAAGGAAGAGGGAGGTGGAAATCATCACATTGGTCACACCAGGCAGAAAGCACGTATTAGCAAAGAAAAGAAAGCGTATTTCCTCCAAGACAGAGAGATGGGGGAAGATGTGGGAATTAGCAGTTCTTGGCATTTTGCGAACACAGCAGGTCTTAGTCCATAGAGATGACAAACTGAATGAGCAGGGGGTTTTGTCCCTTCGATTTAAGATTGCTCAATGGAAAGCAGGGAGAAAGTCACATAAAGATGACCAGCCACTAAACTAAACTAAAGAGGCTCTAGCAACTGTGCTGCGCTGTGCAAGCACTTTGATGGGGAGGCTGTAGGCAGTAGCACAGCTTCCACCAGGATCCGGGATGCCTGCTGCTGCTGAAGACGATAGAGAAGCAGCACCGTTTCTTACACTGGTATCACTGCCATATCAGGTTGTAAATGCCCAGGGGTTATGAAAAGAAGGTCAACAG